AATCGGATAATATAAGATAACTTCTCCATAAATCGTAAAGAACAACGAAGAACGAGGCGTGGTCAAATTCACGATAAAGGTTTGTTCTGCCATGACGTCATTTGTGGAAATTCGAACATACGCCCGCAACTCGATGGCGTCGTAAACTGGATAAAGCTATTTTCGATTGGGTAGTAAGTCGTTCCCTCTAAACGTGTCTGGGCAACGCAGAAACACACATTGGCCGAACGATCTCATCCAATGGTGGGGGAGATTTAGCAATCGGTAATGGAAGAAAACTTACAGATATGGCCACTAGTTGGTGACGTGCTTGTGAGAATGTTCAGAAAATTCCAAACCTAACCCCCTATTCATAAAATGCGAGTGTCGTGGTTTATTCTCAAGAAAGTGTTTTATTGTACGATAAACAGCTCTCTCGCGTCGTTTATTTCTTGAGTATTCTCCCGTATATATTCAGTGTATGAAATAAGGACCACCCGACCGCCCGAGAATGGCTAGAATTCTGACGTACGGTCTAAATTTACAGCTAACCAGTCCGATAGTCTGGTAAAACTTTTAGATGACATGTTCCAATACATCTGAGTAATTTTCTTTGGATTGTCTGGTCTGGTTAAATCCATTTTAGGCTGGTAACATTTTGAAGTTACCAGCGCTGATGTCTGCCTGGATTTTTGGCTTATTTCATACACTGATTTATCCATGTTTTCATTCTTGTACCTTTCGTCATTCAACTAGAGAAAGCCTTTCAGAACACACCCAACATAACATACACGGAAACTGTCGAGAGCAGCCGACTGAGAGTGGCAATGATAATCTAGTACCGACGTCAATGTTTGATGAATATGCGTTGTTTCAATATCAACAATGCAGAAGTCGATGTCAATTTGCAATAATACAAAACATAAGTTTGCAAGTTAGATTTGAATAACGACTTTATCCCTCTCAACTGTATTCATAAGTTTAGGGGCGGTGGGGGTAGTTTGGTGGCTAAAGCGTTCGCTCGTCACGCAGGAGACCTGGGTTCGTTTCCCCACATGGGTACTTTGTGTGAAGTCCAGTTCAGGGTTGATCAGTTCTACAACTAGTTTTTTACAAACAATTGAATGCGTAAATATATATTGCAACTGTCTTCGATCTCAAAACAGCATTGACATTGACTGAATAAGCGGCAATAGGTTTCCTGGCGAATGGATTGAATGAACGCACATTCATTGTTAAACAAGCACACTCGTCCATCAAGCCACCCCCCACCAGACCTCCCACCCCGACCCCCACCACAGATATCGATCACCAAGCGTAACCTATACAGCTAATTGCGTTTACAGGTTTTCCAATAAGTCGATACAAAACACATCGATCTCGGATCCCGTTCGGTAATCTGATCCCCATTTTCCGACATAGAACGATTACCTGACGTCATCGCGATAGCGGAGATCGGTTGACGTTGTTTGTTCGTTGCTGATTACTAAACCATGGAATACCACAAGAGGCATTGTCGCATTGTCAGGGTTTGGGTAATTTTGATTCTTTGGGCTTGTCTTTGTAAGGGCGACGACGCGACGATGTCCCTTCCAGCATTCCATACTGACGAGTTATCACTGCACGGACCAGAGTTTCCATATCAATGTGTTTACGCTATAGATTTAGACTGCCTCCGTGGTGTAGTGGTTAGAGCGTCCGCCAGGGAGAGAGGAAGTTAAAATATGGTACTTGTTGGTCCCTGCCTGGCGCTCGGCATTAATGGGTACAACAAGGACTGGTCGGCTCGGAGTCAGTATAATGTGTCTGAGTGGGGTATTCATGCTTCACTGCGGCATGGTATCTCAGTGGGCTAGCACTATAAAACCAGCTTCAGTCTGGGCTAGTACAAACAGCCGCACATACACATACACAGGCATGCACGTCGTCATATGAGCGAAATATTCTCAAGTACGACGTTAAACCCAATTTCACCTCACCTCACACTATAGATTTAAACATTTCTTCCTTAACCGTGAGTGTAGTTTTACGCCGCATTCCGCAATATTTCAGCTCTATGGCGGTGGGCTGTAAATAATAGAGTCTGGACCAGACAACACAGTGATCAAGAGCATGAAGTCCAATTCTAACCCGGATCTTCACGGGTATGAAATGACGTAAGTGCAACTGAAGACTGGAACTCGAGCCCACCTGTGACCGGGTGTGAAAACCTGGGAGTCAACTTTGTGTGCAGACTCTTTCAGTGTTGTCACAACCCCTAGTGTACAGTACACAACCCTGTGCACTTATAGTCTGTTTGTAGTGAAAACGTACCGAAGAATTTCACTTGAAACAAAAAAAGTAAATCGAATAAAATGAAAATAAGATTGCGAATCCCCATACGTTTACCTTGCCCATTGAACATTTAAATCTCAGAATTTTATTCAACTTAGGATAAAAGTTGTTTAACAAACGATCATCATTTCAAATCGCTATTATTGGTTTGTATTACAAGGGTGTGTGCACATTAAATGAAACACCAAGAACAAGTAGGGTACGGTTGGTCTAAGTTAACGCTCATATCACGTACCGCACGTACTTTGTTTCACTGTTCCAACTACTGCGTTTACCCCCCTGTAATACAAATGAATAATATCGATTTCAATCTATGATCGTTAGTTAAACGACTTTTATCCTAAGATGAATAAAATTCTGAGATTTAAATGTTCAATTGTCAAGGTAAACTTATGGGGATTCGCAATCTTCATTTCACTATATTTTATGTACTTTTTTTGTTTAAAGTGAAATTCATCGGTACGTTTTCACTGCAAACAGACTATAAAAAACCCCCAAGAATCCGTTGGTATATGACCAGATGGTGGCCACATGAATACGCGCAAACACCTAGTTGCGGGTACAGCAACGTGCAGTAAACTTGGACAAAGTACTGTGAACATGGATCCCAGTCCACCAAGCTATGAATAGGTTGCTCGCAAGAATGGGAAAGACGCAATAACTCGGTGCGCCTGGTGGCTGCAAGAGTTGTATGATCCCCAGGGAGTTGAGATTGATAATATGATGTGCCGTCGAGTTTGACATCCAATGATCGAGGAAACAAATACCAGCGCCTTGAGCATGTACTAGTTGCGTGGATATGTGCGCTATATTAATATCCTATGATAATAAATACAAGCGCCTTGAGCATGTACTAGTTGCGTGGATATGTGCGCTATATAAATATCCTATAATAATAACTCAATAGCTTAAAGATAACTTATGACAGCTTTCAATCGTGGCTTTTTCCTACTTCCGTACAGTCGGCAAACGTGTGACTTTCATATGTCGTTGACACCGCATATGATTGTCACAACTTTCACGTGCATTCTGTTATATATGTATTTTCCTTTCCATAATGGACCGCCTCCGTGGTGTAGTGGTTAGAGTGTCCGCCCGGAGAAGGTCGCGGGTTTGATCCCCGACCGCGTCATACTAAAAGACGTTAAAATATGGTACTTGTTGGTCCCTGCCTGGCGCTCGGCATTAATGGGTACAACAAGGCCTGGCCGGCTCGGAGTCAGTAAAATGTGTCTGAGTGGGGTATTCATACTTCACTGCGGCATGGTATCTCAGTGGGCTAACACTATAAAACCAGCTTAAGTCTGGGCTAGTACAAGCAGCCGCACATACACATACACACGCATGCACGCAATATTCTCAAGCATGACGTTAAACCCAATTTCACCTCACCTCACCTTTCCATAATGTAGCAGGACATGGCGCGTCGTCCCAAAGATGGCATCATCACTTGACTGGCTAAAAATCTTTGGTCACGTGGGCAAGGCCCCTACTTCGGATCAGAAGGTCAGTGGTCAGTGTGCGAAATAGCCACTGACCCGCTAGGAAGTATCCAGTAAATCTCCAACGTCACTGGCCCGACTGGCCAATGAATTTTCATGGGGTCATTTTGTAAATATAATACTCTCTCCGACTTGTTAAGTTAGAATATATTTTTAAATCATGCAAGATTATGGCCTGATAAAAATGTCCATCATATTAGCAGCTTAATGATGAAACCCGTGTCATGCCGATAATATCACATTCTCATCTATTTTTGTCATCTGTTGCTTAATTTCAACATTCAAATTTCGGGCAAGTGAATTATTTTGTGGACTAATAACTTTGAGGCATAGATAGCCCGACTGCCTAGCAAAATTTGGAAACTATTTCGCACACTGACAGTGGTTCGAATCATTCCACGGGACTCGGTACTTTTATGGACGCCTCAATGACATTTCAGGCAGTCCTAAATTGATTGTATATTTAATGTCCATTGAAACTCTCGTGAAAACGAAGTGTGCAACCCCCTCCCCACCCCTCTTCTAAAGAGTGTGCACCCGCAATAGCCCCACCCCCCCCTTCTCAAAAGCTGCATCCGTCCCTTATGTATAAATCATGTCACAAAAGTGTGTACTTGTATCATATATGTCATACAGCAAGCCTCATGTACTCTTGTGTGCTACGTCACGGCTTGTTGTGCACAATGTTTCGGTGGACGGAGAACTGCGCTGCTTGCTTACAAACCCGTGTCTGTTCACGGTTCAGTGACGATCGACATTTAGAGTGACGATCGACATTTACAGTAACGCATTGTTAAACACACTGCCTCAGATAACGAACACCTGAGTGACAATTGCTGTAATAGTATTGCATCTTTCTTGAGTTAAAAAACCCCATTTTTTCATTATTTTCTTTTTCTCATTTTCTCAACAATTTCATTTCTTTTCTAGGACGAATGTGTTAAATGCTAAGTTTATAAAGTATCTTAATCATCTTTTACTTTCTCAGACAGCCACACAAACTCATAAACATACTGAAACAATTCTTCTCTAGTGCAGATAACCCATGTCTTGTTGGTTCAACAACAGCATAATCTAACAGTTTTGCGTACGAAATGAATTCACCTTGTTTGTCCTCAAATTGGAAACAGGTGGGGCCCGAGGTATAAGGGAGCTAACTCAAAATTCTGGTCCGTATGGAGTTAACTCCCTTAGACGACACCAAAACCGTGTTACCTGTCAATAATACACGCAACCCTTCAAACTGGATTTAGGAACGACAAATATTTGAACATGCTTGGATGATAAACGAAGCATGGTTTGAGACAAGCAAAGGTTTGTTTAATTTGTTTCAGAAAGCTGTCCCCTGTCACAAGTAAATATGTCGTCTGAACTGTTCTTGGTAATAGTAAATATCCGGCTTGAGAATACCCTTGAATCTGCAACTGTACCGCTGTACACATGAGATCGGGTTTCACGTGTACAACAGCTGACAATATACGATGTTGAACTTGGTTATATAACCTGAAATTTCTGCATTTTTGCGAGTGTCTTCTCGAAATGAAGGTAATAATTTTCATTTGTGTTATTAACCCACAATTTGTTCAGCAGCAGAGTATTGGGCAATACGTCAATAGACACAGGCTCCCATTCCGGAAACGCAATAGGCTTTTTTAATTTAATGTTGCATTTCGTTTTAACTTAACGTCTGCAGTCATATAACCCATATTGTAGATACACATTGTTTTAAATTGAACAATGATAAGGTAAAGACTTTTTTAAATGGTATTTTGCATTATTACTTTCTATATTCATGATATTCATTTTCCATTCAGAGCAATGCATAGATTTTTGTTCATTGACTATTGTTTATGTAGATGGAAAAGGATGATGCATGTAAGCTATTGTGTAAATTTATGTACTGGAGTGTGAATAGAAACCTTGGCATATGATATGTAACAGCAATTAGACTGGGAACGAGTAATTAATATGAATTCACACTGTTGTGTTGTTTATCTCGTTTTATCAGCTGTTTATGATAAACGAATCTGCCATATGTTACCACTGTCACTTTACTGTTGAAAAATATTTTTTACCTGGAGGCTACATTTATACTGATAGAAATTGTCATTTGAGAGATTGCTATTTATTTACTGGTCGCGGACCACTGATCTTGGGTAATTTCCCTAAGTATTGTCATTTGAGAGATGTTCATGCTGCTGAAATATTGCTAAATCCAGCATTGAACAAAAACACAAACATATAAGAATTGTTTATGATGGCTTTGTATTTTTGATGCATTTCATTATTTTTCATAACTGGAGAGTGGTTATAGACAATCAATCATAATCATTCTTGAACCAACATCATAATTAATTCACATTTGGAACAGATTGAACTGTTTCTTATAAATATTTTGACTAATGAATAATGAATAATTTCTTAAAAACATATCACCAGTGTGATTTGACCTGCATCATTAAATTTGAGGAATTCTAATTATTGAGAATGCAAAATGTTCAGTTGTCAGTCTCACAGCCCCAGTAACCGCACTGTTTTCCCTTTTGCCCAGCTGCAGCATTAAGCCCTAAATGAACATGATGAAGCAAGTCTAGATTTTCTCAGGTTCAGAATCTCCCATCTCGGTGGGGCTCATTTTCAATTTAAAAGGAATTATTTGTTGCTATAAAAATGATATATTCAGAGACTAAGCATTAGTCTAAGTGTTCTGGTATATTTTAAAAATATTTTCCAACATTTTGTCACAGTGTAAATGCAGGGATGTGTTTTAAGTAGGGGAATGTCCTTATAATTCCCCATTGTTTAAAAAACATCAACCTTGACCCCAAGCCCCAGCTTCATTATGTTTTAGGGAGTAGAACTAGAACTAAAAAATGTCCCAAGATATTATTCTGTATATCTCGATAGGGTGAAATTTTCTTTGTTAATGAGTACTGATGACAATGTTCTTATCCGTAAGTTGTCAACCTTTATCTATCAAGCATTGTCTCTAAGAAATAAACATAATAATTCATAGAATGTATGTACTCATATTGTTATTTGTTACGATATGGTATGATGGTGCGATATGATATGATATGATATGATACATGGTGTGATATGACATGATGTAATATGGGGTGTTATGAGATGATGTGATACGACAAAGTATGTGTAATGCGATGTCATATGATGTGATACATTTTGATGCGATATGACATATTGTGATTTGACTATTTTTATTCTTTTCTATGATATTGTGTACTATGTTCTTGTATACTATGGGCCTGTGGCCTTCAGTATGAATAAAGATTGATTGAACTAGAAGGATGCTCAAACCTAAATTCCCCTCTACTATTATCAGAGTCCTGTTACCACATTTGGTGTACAGTGTTTGCCACTGTTTGGGTTTGGCTTTGTGGTCAGTGGTCAGTGTGCGAAATAGCCACTGACCCGCTAGTAAGTATCCAGTAAATCTCCAACGTCACTGGCCCGACTGGCCAGTGAATTTTCATGGGGTCTGGAACAAGTTTTTATGGATAACAACTTCTTTATTTGGTGAGTGCGACGTTTCGATACAGATTCTTGTACCGTTGTCAAGCAAGAGTGACAACGGTACAAGAATCTGTATCGAAACGTCGCACTCACCAAATAAAGAAGTTGTTATCCATAAAAACTTGTTCCATATTGTACGTCTCAACTTCTAAAATGCCACTCAAACAAGTTTTCATGGGGTCATTTTGTAAATATGGCTTTGGCTTTTTTTGGATTTCACAGGATATTGGAGATATTGATGGTTTCATTTCTGTTTTTAAGCAAAGGTTGTCTGATAATCTTTCACAAGATGGGTACTCATCCCTACATAATACAACCAAGTGTTCTAATTATATACTTTTCAAGTCCCTCCTGAATGTTGAAACTTATCTCAGTTTAGATATTGCCCCATATTTAAAAATTATTTAACAAAATTTAGATGCGGTAAATTTAAACTTAGTTCTGAGACCGGTAGATATAACAATGTCCCTTATTATTCAAGATTCTGTCCTTTTTGCTACAAAAATAATCGTAATTTAATTGAAGATGAAATACATGTTTTACTTTATTGTAAAGCCTACCTAGATATAAGGAATAAGTTTCGGGGGTAAATATTTGAAACATCCTATTTCACAACACAATTTTATAAACATAATGACTTCAACAAACATAAATGTTATAAATAATTTATGCCTATTTTCATATAATGTTGGGAAAATAAGAGATTCTGATGTTTTTATGTAAAACGCATGTAACTTCTTATCATACTTATGAATGTATTTTGGGCCATAGGCCTATTACTGAATAAGATGTCTTTTTTTCATTCTGTCTGTCTGTCTGTCTGTCTGGCCTAGGCATAAACATTTAGGAGTCATCATGACTCCCTGATGTGTGAAGCCCATTTCTGGTGTCCCCGGCCGTGATGTTGCTGGAATATTGCTAAAAGCGGCGTAAAACCAAACTCAGTCAGTCAGTCAGTCAGTCATGACTCCCTGGTGTCATGGGAGGGACATGTTTTTGGGAGTCAACTTCAGTTTGGAACTTTCATCAAGACATCAACTGTGTTTAATAATGGCAAAAAATCCAAGGTAAGGCAGGTCAGGTATTTAACCAGCACTGAGCAGTTAACTGGCAAACATTAAACTAAGTAGTTTTAAACAACACCAAATTACAATATGTACTCAAACTGAACTAAGGGCCCAGTAGCATTGCGTCAATAATGGCACAAGCTTCTAAATTCACTGCGTATTTGAGATAATTTGTGCATCAAATACGCAGGTTTTCTGTGTCATGGCAAACACTGGGTGTATCAGGTGTTCTGCCGACTCAGCATCTTTGCTGGATTCTTGCATTAATTGAATCAGCGAATAATATTTACACTCAGTGGGACATCAGGCGCATTCATGTAGGTTGGTATGTGGAGAGTCAATAACTGTATCAAAAAAATATTTTGATATATAGACAGCTGCTTCAGTTATTGACTGAAAGTGTCCTGAATATTTTTGCATTCTGCATCTTAATATACTGTTGGCGATTTTCATTTGGCTGAGAGTCACAAATGGTCCTATTAAAATCGAGCTTATTTTTGCTAAAATTGTAATCATCGTCATGATTCCCAAAACGCAAAGTTATTTCTTCAAAAAACATCTTTGACATTATTGGGTAGTTGGGTTTTACCCCTGCTAACAATTTTACAATATTCCAGCAATATCACACATGGTACCCATGTGGGGATCACCATGAAATAGGGCTTCACACATGGTACCCATGTTGTTTGACATCACAAGAACTGAATGAGCAATCATAGTTTTTTATAAAAAGGTCAAAGGTGATTTTGCTTGAAAGAAAAAAGCTACATCAAGTAATGCCTTCAATAAAGCATGTTGAATATGCAGATCGCCTTTGAAATTCGCTTGCATCCCTAAGAAAGTTATCGCCAGGTGCATTGTTCAGGTGCCCTTGGTTTGGTACCTCCTGATCTCTCTTTCACATTGGGATAATGCAGAAGAGCTGCAGTTTTGGGTGCACAGCCTTTCACACTGGGTAATGCAGAAGGCTGCAGTGTTGGGGAGCCTTCATATTCTCCGTAAAGTCTTGGTGGGTTCCACTTGGCAGATTTTCTTGGGAGAAGTCCCATTCGTTGTCGTGGCTGCGTGCAGAGGGGGCAAGGGCCCTGAGCTGATGATGAGCCTTACGAGCCTGACTGTGCCAGGATCACCAGAACCCTCTCTGCTGCATTTTTCATCTTAATCTGTTAAAAAATAATAATGATGGATTTGTATAGTGTCTACTTTCCACATGCGATGTGCAGCAGTGCTGATTATTATTGCCTCGGATAACCCCAGCCCCTTGTGAGGCGCTAGAAGGTTAATAGTCACATGACTTATCTCACCGGGTACCCATTTCCTGCAGGGTGAGCAGGGGCAATTTTGAATAAACTCACTTGCCTAAGGTGAGACCACATGTATCACATGTGCTTCGTTGTGGGGCAGGACGGAAGTCCTAGAAACTCTCAGGAGTCTGCCAAACACAGTCACCCATCCCCAAAGTCTCCACACCCAACATTGCACGGTACTGGTCTCTTGTTGTGCTCTTAGTTTCTCTTTCTTCGATCACAGGAAACACTTGCCACTTGCATTGGTTTATGATTTTATGAGGTGACTAAAGGGATGGGATGGTCAGGCTTGCTGACTTGGCTGACACATCTCATTGTATCCCAATTGCGTAGATCGATCCTCATGCTGTTGATCACTGGATTGTCTGGTCCAGACTTGAATATTTACAGACCACCGCCATATAAC